AGCGCGTCGATCCAGTCTTCGGCCATCAGTGGCAGTGGGACGCCATCGAGCACTACAACCAGCCATCTCTTGGCCCCACAATACGAGCCCCTTTCAGACGATGAATAGTTCTATTTATTCGCAATTAATCATTGAAAATAACATTTATATTAAATTTATATATATTATGACAAAATGCTGTGATATTTCGATTAAGTGGCGATTATTTCGACAATTTGTTTCGTGGTTTGAATTTCGACTTCAGATTCACTGCCGATCAGTTCAATAGACGCTTCGCTCACACATCATAGGAAAGCGGATAAAAGTTTTTATTTACTTCTCATACGAAGAGACACTTTCTTACAGTGCCTTCAATGGCAACACATATATGTCTAACAAATTTGAAATTATATATCAAAGATCTCTTATGTTGTGTAAATTCATTTCAAATTTATTTCTCCTTTTTATTGTTAACTTTTATTTAATTAAAAACAATTAAGAAAAACATTATAAATATGTTTCGAACGGTGCAATCGGTTAACTCTTATCAGGTTTTGGATTTTTTAATTGATAAAATCGCTCACAAAAAATGTGTACTTTTCTTGTGTTTAAATGTAAATATTGATAATTAATTAAACAAATTATTAAAAAAATTAGTTTCCGTTTAATTTAATTAATTACAAAAATGATTTTAGATTTTGTCGCCCTTAAGTGATGTCAGACCCGCTCTCATAATCTCATCCACTAATAACAGATTGCAAGCGATTGTCGTACTGTTCAACAAAAAACAAGTAAACCATTAATTAAGTGAAGGCATGGTTTTAAAGTGAGAATCCAATACTAACCAGGAGTTAATGAGTTGTTTCTTCACTTTGAAGTTGTCCAGAATTCCCACATCTAATGGATTGATGGCCTCTCCAGTGTTGAGGTCGACGCCGACGGGTTGTTTAGTTGAGTTGTATTCTTGCAATAACTTAATGATGACGTCCTGCTGATCAAAGCCCGCATTAAAGGCCAACGTTTTGGGTATAATGAGCAGCGCATCGGCGAACGCCTGGACTCCTAACTGTGCCTTTCCTTTCACTTCATTCTTATAGCTGACGAGCGCTGAGTGGAGGGCTATTTCGAAAGCGCCGGCGCCCGGAACCACACACTTGTCTTCAATTGCATTCTTGATGGCTCGGAGTCCGTCATAAATGGCATCCTTGGCCTGAATGATAGAGTGCTTATTCGGACCTTTGATCAGAATTGTGACCGACAACGGGTTCTTCAGGTCCTCCACAAACGTATATCTCTCCTCTCCGAGTGTGTGCTCATAGACCTGACCCGCATATCCCAGACACTCGGCGTTCAAATCGTCCAACGAATTCATGGGAAAGCCTCCGCAGGCGAGTGTCAGGCGCTCCATATTGCGGCGTTTGGCCCGTCGGAGGGCAACAATACCCTCGCGCGCCAACATATCCAGAGAGATGGGATCGATTCCCTGCTGGTTGATCACCACAAAGCCCTTCTCCTTGTCATCGCCGCACACTTTGTTCTTCAATTCAATGATTTTGTTCACTCTGTCGTCGATAAACTTGCGTTCGGCTCCGACCAGACGTTCCCTCTCTTCGGCCGTTTTATAGAAGAATCCCGAGTGAACTGTACTGTGGATTCAATTCAAGTTTTAGTATTCATTTGTAATTACAAATCAATCAAATCTCACGTCTTTTCGTATTCAAGAGACACATTACACGACAGAATGAAAGCATTTTTCACGTGTCTCTTCATGTCTGGATGTCTCGCCCCGTGATCTAAGACCAGACCCTTCACTAGACTCGTATCTTCAATCGACTTGTGTTGCATCTCTTGGATCTCAACCATAAACAGATCAATAGGTTTGCCCTCTTGTCTGATGGCGAGAACGGCGTCCACACAGATATCAGTCAAATGATTGGCCAATTTGTTGTTCACTTTTGTTTGCAACGAAGTCTTCGCCACATTAATCAAAGTATTGCGATCGATGCCCTTATTCTCCACTTTCATAGCGTTTAACACTTCCAAAGCCTTCTTTCGGGACAAATCATATCCATCGGCGACTATTCGCGGATGTAATCCCTGGACAACACGTCGACACTCGTTAGACATCAATACAACAAAACAAAACTAATTCATCGCTTACTTCACTGATATGGCGATCCGCTTGTGTTAAGAGCTCTCCAATGAGAAGCACTGTAGAAGTGGTTCCGTCGCCGGTCTCGTCATTCTGTGCGGTCGACGCCTTCGCTATGAGTGAAGCCGTCGGGTGTTGTATTTGCTGTCATATATCGTATTCACAAACATTTCATTAATATTCAAAATTCAAATCAAACAATCATCGCCGGTCTCGTCATTCTGTGCGGTCGACGCCTTCGCTATGAGTGAAGCCGTCGGGTGTTGTATTTGCTGTCATATATCGTATTCACAAACATTTCATTAATATTAAACATTAAAATCAAACAATCATTTTCTAATTAAATACTGAATCCATTATTCAATGACTTCTCATTGCATTCAAAGAGAAAGTCATTAAAAATGGACAAAAAAATGGGTGTCAATGAGTCGTACCATTTCGTGGAGCAATACATTGCCATCTTTGGTGATCTTAATATCTCCACCGCCGCTGACAAGCCTTCGTGAGAGACAGGGAGATAATCATGGGATTAGTTGATGTGATACTACCATTTATGGAGTGAGACATACATTTTCATCGTCCCTTTTGGTCCCAAATTGGTTCTCAACACTTCCTGAAGACCTTTAGCGCCGCTAATATTGACGGCCAACGCCTGCGAGTGTCGGGCGATCTCAGCCTTGGGGTTGAGGGCGTGAATGGCAGCCATTTGTCACTAATTTGGTCCGATTTAGTGATTTTGTGTCAAACAAATCAAATCTCAATCTCTTTATTGAAATCACGCTTTCGTTCAATGCTTTCAAACTATAGGAGAAATGAATGCAACTTTCAATGCCTCAGACATCAGATGTCTCTCCCATTCATCAACTCTTAGGCCATTTATCTGTATATTTAGCGACCAATTGGTCACACATTAAGACCACACCATTCACTCACTCATCATCACTTGATCTGATCCCAAGACTAACACTTTCTGCAAATAAAACATTACTTTAATTAACAAATCACTTTAATATACAAATCATTGTGCGATTAGTCGTTATTTATGTACAAAAATTAAAGTTATTTTTATTATTTTTTGTGCAAAAAAACAAACTTTTATTTTGACTACAATTTTGAAATGCATTGAATGAGAGCTCACTTTAATTTCACCCCTTTTTTATCCATTGAAGCAATCATTTCGTCAAAACATTTTTCATTTCATGTGTTTTTAATTGTTTTTGTTTTTTATAATTTAAAAATCTAACATTTTATTTGTTATTGTATTCAATAATTGACTTTTTAAATATCATTTTAATATTACAATCGTTTGGTTTGCAACTCATTGTTAGTGAAAAAGTTTTGAATGTTTTTTAAATACGTTAATGAATGCAAACATCAAATGCTATTATAATAATCAATAATACATTGATTTCACAGCAATTCAAAGCCAAGTCTTGAGGTATTATAACATTTCACTGCATTTTATGTCACATTAAACCCTATTATTAAACGATCGCTTAAATTGTTATCTAATAGTTATATCAGTTTTCAAAGCAAATAACAAATGACTTAATCATTAATAAAGCGATTGTAAGGCAAAGGGTTGGGGAAAGAGAGGCTGACATTCAGTTATAACTCAATTAAAAACTTATAAAACAATTAAAAATAAAATAAATGTTTAAAAAATGAATCATTTTTGTGAATGAAATGATGAAAGAGTGTTAGCATTGAGTGGTTGTGTCGGCCGTCGTATTTGTGTCTCAATATGTTTTGACGCATAATATTGTGTCAAATATTACGATATTTTCACTCATTTTTTACTCAATTTATTGTTAAATGTTATGAAAAACAATTCAATATTTATTTTTGATTGCAATTAACGTTTAAAAGATTTAGTTTTTTTAAAAATAATTAATTAAAATAATAAAGTGATAGACAGAGAGAGTGAGTGAGAGAGCAATGAATAACAGCCACAACGAGAGCGGGAGCCGTGGCGTCAACCGTACGGCCAATTCGGGCCTCAATTTTGACTTTCCGTCACTTAATCTCGACTTTCATTCAATCAGTGAAGCGTTGAGTCCAAGAAATTTGTCCACAAATTGGGATCAACTGATGGCTGCGACCAAATGCGGCACAAATCGGCCCAAAGACATCGCTTGTCAGAGCTGTTCCATCAAATTCACTGTCTTTAAGAGGAAGGTATTGTCATTGTGTCCACACATTTCACGTTTGATCGTCAAATCAGATCCCATTTAGACGTGCGATCAGATTGTGGTTAATATTAGTGTTGAATAAATAGGGAAAACATTGACTTTTAAACCGCATTTTGAGGCAAAATATATTTTTATTATAACTCGTGTTTTGGCATAAATTAAAGTTTAATTATTAAACCCTTTTTCTGATTGAAGTTTAATGACATGTCTATTACTAATACACTATTAGTTTGATATACTATTGAAATAGCATTAGAAACACGTATAGGGATGTGATTTGACGCTCACTTTGATTGACAAATAATTTTTATAAGTGAATGAATGGTCAGGAATTGATTAATTGATGTTTGCTTTTGCTGTCATAATAGCGGACGTGTATTGACTGTAATATGGATTTTTGCAATCAATGTCTTAACAAAGACTTGGGATACGACCGCAAGAATCACTGCAAACGGTGTGTTGTCTTCAGTGCGGTTCCGTTGGATAGGAATGCGTTGAATGGTCTGAGAGCTCGTGATCTCAAATGGTTTTTGGCCTCAAAGCGAATCCCCTCTCAGATGTGTAACGTATGTATCGATTGAATGCCCGGAAATGAATGCATTGTTTTGTTAAATGCATTGTTTGGTCACATATGACAGGAAAAGGGAGAACTCGTCGATCTTATCATACAATCATTTTCTCCGCAATCAAACGCTTCTTCAGAGTCGAGTCAATTCATGCGGCCCTTCGATAGGGAGACCAGAGCTCAGCCCACAAATGATAATCAAAGCGAAAGTCAATCACAAACCCAGAGTCACAACAATGTGGAGCCGTTGCCCATCCGTTCTGCTTATTCACCCGTTTATCCATCGCTTAATTCATTGAATACCAATTCTAATCCAATCAACGATTCAAACGCGGGTAGCAGTGAATCGGTGAACACTAAGCCCGAGTCCACTCCAAACAAGTCCAACACTTATTTCAATATCGATGACTTGAAATCAATGGATCAGTTGAAGGCATTGAGTGTCAAACAGTTGAAACTCATATTAACCCGAAATTTCATCGATTATAAGGGATGTGTGGAAAAGGAAGAGCTTCTCTCCAAAGTTGAACGGCTCTGGAATGATAGACAAGAAAATAAAACTCAAAGTATGTCTTCATTTATACTTTATTTAAATTGAAATTTGATTTTATATTTATTTTGTGCATAGATTTGGATGACATTCCCGATTCAAATGTGTGCAAAATATGTATGGAATCTACCATTGATTGTGTACTATTGGGTAAGCATTGCGTGTTAGACCCGATGGGTGTTGTGTTGCAATTATCATACATTGATGTCCGCAAACCCGCACTCACGAGTCGGATGTACTCTTTGAACATAACTATAATTATGTTATATCTGGTATGACTTGTGTTATATAGAGTGCGGACATATGATTTCGTGTACTAATTGTGGCAAACGTTTGAGTGAGTGTCCCATTTGTCGCCAATACGTCAGTCGAGTCGTCCATATCTTTAAATCTTGAAGTATTCACTGATAGTCTTTGATAATTATTTTATTATTTAAACCAATAGTCAATTAAAATACATTATTTTGTTTACAAATATAAGCCATAAATAAATATTGTTTTTCTAATATATGATGAATCTATTAAAAAACTATTAATATATCTAATTATTTTCGCTATTTATAAAAATTATAATAAACTTATAAATTGTCAATTCTTTTCATTTTAAACGTTTTAATGTCAATAAAAATACGGTAAATAAAGTTTAAATTCTGTTGTAATTTCTTAAGTAAATTATAATTTTAGTTATTTTTAAATTAGAAATTAATGCTGAAATGTATAAATACGTACAGTGTATGTGAAGTTACCGCTCAAAACGGTCTACACCTATCATACTCTATGGTTCAACTCTTCATAGAGAAAGTCATACGAATGAATCGATTTGTTGTCTTCCTTTGGGAAATCATTTGAATCCAAATCCGTTCTCTCAATCACTTGACTCGCTATACGTTCACTACAACTCTATCACGACTATAACGACAGTTCAATTCAAAGTATGGGAAACTCGGCTCCAGATGAAGAAGAGGACGCATTGCCTGTAATTAAACCCACAATAAGAAGAGTTCCCCTCATATCGCCACTCATTAACGGAAGACCTCAAGAAATGCGTGTCACCACTGGAAGCGACCTAACACTGGTTCCGGAGAGATATGTTCACAATATGGGACTCAAAATGGATAACTATCCTAAAGTTGTCACTCGTATGGCTAATGGAGTCTTAACCGACATCATTGGTCTCACAGAACCCGTGAGAATGACTATCGGCTCACGAAGAATAAGAATCGCTCTTTCAGTCGCTCGAGAAGACAATAGTCTTTTCTTATTGGGAAGCGAAGCCATCAATGCCTTTGGATTCGTTCCCATTATAGACCAAAATCAGTGGCATTTCTCCAGTGATTCACGAAATGCGGACGAAATGAAGAATACTATCAAATTGTATGGAAAAGCGTCACAACAAGAGATTCACATGTTTTTCCTCAACAACAAGAACTCTACTCTTCAATACTATAATCCAAACGAAGAACTGATCACAAAATAATATGACACTCAAATGGTTACCCGAGATGTTTCAATCATATCATTTAACTTCAATTATTGATTAAAAAATTCAAACCATTTTTAATGTTATTGTGATTTATTAAAAACTTCTTAAATATAAGAAACTTAATAATTGAAACAAAAAACAATCTCATTATTATTGTATCACAAAAAACAGATTTATATCAAAATATTAATAATTAATTGAATAAAATTGTGTACAAAGTTGTAAAATAATTGACTCCAAATTATAAGCCTTTTGTCCCGTTATTAATATTTGTTAACAAAATGTATCACAAAAAACAGATTTATATCAAAATATTAATAATTAATTGAATAAAATTGTGTACAAAGTTGTAAAATAATTGACTCCAAATTATAAGCCTTTTGTCCCGTTATTAATATTTGTTAACAAATTTTAAGATAAATTTTTGGCACAATTTCGACAAATATTAATAAAATATTATTTAAAACCAGATTTAGTTAGGAATTTGCTAAACATTTTTAAATAAATTTTATAATTAATTAATTTAGTAAAATTGAGTTACAATTCGCTCTCCAATTGTAAATTGATTCTTAGTTTCTGACAGTAATTTAAAATTAGATTTAATGAAAAAGTGATTAATTTGATGAATGATTTCTTCCGTTAGCGTAAGCGTCGGTAAAACTCTTGATTTGGAGAGCATTAGTGGAAAGCGGACTAAACTTTGGAAAGTTGTCGGTCGGCGACGACGACCGGAATAGTGGCGATCGAGTTCTGGTCTTATACTTAGTCCACGTGTCGCCCGAAGAGGTCGGAGGGCTCGTCGACGGCCTGTATTTGTAGTCAGTGTCCGAATACAGCGGCGGCGGTGAGACATATGAATCAAAGTTTCGTTGTCTCGTCAACGGATCCCTTTTCGACGAATAGAAATCGTCTTGAATTACGGGATGAATATATTCACTGGTATTCAAGGTTTTAGGTTCAGTCGATTCCCAATAAGGCTTCTCTTCAGTTGATTTAATGCTCTGATTTTAAATTTGAAAATTAATTCTTTTGTAAACTCAATTAAATGGCAAATGAGTGATACCTTATAGTGATTGTCCCAATCCATGAATCGGTTCAGATTGTGTTCGACGTCATCCCTCTCTTTGTCTCCCTTAAAACTCCTCTCAAAGTTGTCATCAAATTTGGATTCATCTAAAACTCTATTATTTAGAGTGGATTTGCTATTGGAGTGAATGTTTGCCGTCACATATCCTCTCGAGTCTTCATTATTATTGTAATCACTTTTTCGATGAGTTTCTTCTGTCGAATACTTTTGTTTATTAAGATATTCTTCGATAATCTGTTTATCGCTTCGATGTTCTCTGCGCTGATGGCTATCATCACCGAAATAAAAGGTCCTCTCGGGTCGACTCGGAGTTTCCGATCTCGAGTCGGCTCTCGAGTCAGTCCTTCGGCTTCTGTCCTGCTTTTCAAACGATATCTTTTGAGTCCTGCCTTTAAAGTCATTGGATCTTTCCTCGTCCTAATAGTGTATCAATTGTATCAACATTTGTAAAATTAATTTAACTTTCATTTATGTATTAAATTGTAAACAAATTACATCCGAAAGCGATGCCTGAACTGAAGCGTCTTCTTTGATACGAGAGGCTCGAGAAGAGGGTCTATAGTAGTCGGTCGGCGACGGACTTCTCGAGTCTTTCGCGTAATAGTTTGCGGTCGATGTGTATCGCTGTCCCGATTTGGATGACCTCTGTTGGAGTCGATTCCTTCTGTCGACCGAATGATAATCACCAGAAATGGCCGAAATGGGTGTCGATGTCCTTCCAGTGCGGCTAACATTTATCACGTTCTTTCCGGTTCTGGTTTTGGACGTCTCAACGATATCGCTCTCATCACTGGAGCCAAAGTGATCGTCAAGCCATCTGACCGTTGCATACAAATCCATAAAACAATATTTTTAAATCAAAATTATTTACAATACCTATCAGTTGTGCCGTTATTCCCACTTTCGTCGGCGTATTCTTTCCTCGAAGTCGTCTTTCGGTTTTCAATGGATCGTAAATTTTGTCGATTCATAGCATTAGAGAAATTATCAAATCCATACAATACCTATCAGTTGTGCCGTTATTCCCACTTTCGTCGGCGTATTCTTTCCTCGAAGTCGTCTTTCGGTTTTCAATGGATCGTAAATTTTGTCGATTCATAGCATTAGAGAAATTATCAAATCCCTGGTCATAATTCTTCAGGTGTTCAACTCTCCTGGAGGTCTCGGTCGACGACTCAGGCAACGCTTTGCGCGGCTCCTGATTCTCTTCGGGCACCTCATCGTCATTGAACTCTTCGTGATGATGGGTACGAGTGCTCTCTGTTGTCACGTTTCCATCCCTTCCCAGACGTGATGTCTCTTTGACTTCTTCGGAGTCATTAATTTTATTAGATTTACTCGAATAGTGAACTAATTTTCCTTTCGGTATCCGATCGGGGGTTTCGTCGTCCGAATCGATTTGAATCAATTCATTGGGCGCTTGAAGTGCTTTGCGATGGATCTCAAGTCCCGTCAACTCTTTGAAGCTCTCGTCGTGGTATTGAATGTTCTCTTCTTTCGCTTCTTTGCTCGACTGATGTGTTTCTATCTTCTCGTTGACGACATGATTACCTCCGGGAACGGCTAAATATCCGGCACCGGGCGGCACATCCACGTCACCGATGTTTTTATGATTAGTATTCTCTGTCTCTTCTTTCTTCTGGTCTTCTTTAGTCTTTGTGGTGACCTGTGGTCCACTGTCTGCGATCACCTTTCCGTCTTCCATCACAATCTGTCGCTTCACTCGTGTCTCCACTTGTCTTGTCTTGTGATTCACAACCTTTCGAGATGTCGTCCATTCCTCTGATTATTTCAAATTTATTTAAATTTAAATTAAATTTCAGTAAAATTACAACAATTTTTATATAAAAACATTTTCCAAAAGCATATAATTTTCTCATTTCTTAACATACTTTTGACTAAATCTTTTAAAAATTATTTAAATATTTTTTTAAATAATAAATGTTTTCTTTATTTCCTCCAATTTTCTCATAGCTTTAATTATATTATGAATAACTATTTGACAAATTAATGTTAAATTTGTTTTTTAAACTTTAAGAAAATTATGTTTCCTTTGATTTATTTTACATTAAAAAAGAAGAAAACTTTTGTCAAAAAACAATTTGAAGTGTTTTGAAACAAACCTTGTTTTGCAGCCGTCAGTGAATTTGAATCGTTGTTTACCTAAAAAACAATATAAATATTTTTTATTATTACGAGAATAAGTAATAATTAGAGAAAAGCATTATTTAAACGATTATTGTATAAGTTATGCAAAAGTTATGTCGAGTGCTTTTAGCGAAAGTTTTTTATGAGCACTCATTCAATAATGCATTCAATAATTTGTCCTAAATTTTCATAT